GATCTTCCCAGAGCTGTACAGTGGAGAAGGCTGAGGCATTTACACTGACTATTCACATTACCTGGAAGGAAAAGCCCCAGATATGAGCCATAAAGAGGGCAAAATGTTATGTTACAAAGTCACTGCCTTCATGTTCAGCACAGTGCAGTGCTTACATGTAACAGGAGGGAGTGCCAGAGGAGCCCTGCTTGGCGCATCTTAATTATATTCTATTTCTTCATTATCTTTTAGAAAGCTCTCACTTCCAATTACACATCAAGCTAGTGAGTTCTGTGTCCTCCTGGCAAGAAATTGCTAAAACCAAAACCCACCACCTCTCCTGCAAACAAACAAACAATCATGCAAACCAGCTTAATTGGGGGAAGGCAGCCCTTCACACACTCAACCAGAACTGCTGCTGTGGAGCTGGGCAGACACCAGCCATGGCCAGGACACTGCTGGCTTTGCCCCATTTCCTTCATCAATGTCCAGAGATCATAACTTCGTTGTGACTTTATGAACAAGTGGAATTACAAGCCCAAACATCTTGGCGGCATTAGGCAAAAGAGGTCATCTGTTTAGCACAGACTGCAGTGCCATAAGAAAAGACTGAAAACACAATATGGAAAAATGCTAACAGTTGCTAGTGGGAAAAAAATCCCCATTTTTGAAGAACACAGCAAGGAAATTGTAAAGCCCATGGAACAGCATGGATCTCCCTGCTGCATGTCTCTGAAAGGACAAAGTTTAACAGCAGTGAGAAAATCACAGGCGTGGTGCTTGGAACAGGAGAAGCTTTATTTAAATTAAATAGGATTACCAACATCTTCAGTCCATTTTCCTTTTCTCAGTACATAACACTGTGTGTCAGAATGTGTTTTATCAGCAACGTATATCCACACAGGAACAGAGGGAAGTGATCTGATGTCAGAATGCCTAACCCATACCTACATTGCAGATGTTGGCAGGGATGTATTCAGTCTTTTCCAGGCTTTGCCCAAAGTCCCTTCCTTTTGGATAAAAAAGGACTAACCTGAATGTACCTACAGTCAGGATTTATAGGATTAAGCACACCCAATGAATGTGTTTGCATCCAAAGAGTCACTGATATATTGATCCCAGTGTAAAAGTGCATTTCCACTATGAGGGTGGTGAGGCACTGGCACAGGTTGCCCAAGGAGGCTGTGGATGCCCCATCCCTGCAGGCATTCAAGGCCAGGCTGGATGTGGCTCTGGGCAGCCTGGGCTGCTGGTTGGTGACCTGCACACAGCAGGGGGTTGGAACTGGATGAGCACTGTGCTCCTTTGCAACCCAGGCCATTTTGTGATTCTGTGATTCTATGATCTTCCAGCATGATCCAGCAGGGTTTGAGATGTAATCTAGGAAATATATCCCCAGTAACATGTACAAGTCTGAAAATAGAGCAGAAAAAGGCCAGCATGACTTAAAATGCAAACATCTACAGTGAGCTGCCCAGACTGGTGCAAGGTGCCCATCTCTGCAGGAACCAAACCATGCTCCACATCCTCAGTGATGCTCCTGCCCAGCAGCATTCTCTCTGTGCCCCCACACTCCCCACCCACGAGAGAACAGTGTGTGGAGTTGTGTTATCCACACAGTGTATGGACATTAAATGTGGATAGCAGGTGATGCATTTCATCTTCTGCAGCGTGGTGCCCTCAGGGGCAGCTGGGATTTATTTGCCTTGCTGTCAGCACGCCCAGGGCTCACTCTGTAGCAGGACTGGCATTTCTTTGCTCCATGAGTAATTCCCAGAGTAATTCTAAGTAAAATGTGTCCAAATCATCCTCCCAACCAGCAAGCAGAGGCTGTGCCCCATGGAATCCCCTCAAGGACCAAGCAGAAGGTGGTGTGGGTACTGCCACTAAGTTGTGGTTATATTTCTCCATTTAAAATTCAGATGGATGAAAAACACAAGTGAGGTAGATTTTAAAGAGGTGCAATTATTAAAAGTTGTATTCAGTATCTGATATGTATTTCTGTGGCAAAAATTAAGGCTGCCTCCTGTTGTTTGAAAAGGCACTCTTGTTCTGGCAGGCTGACCACATCTCTTCTGTACCTCGTGGCCAAATCTTGAGATAATCATTTCAGGGTGGTGCACTGAAAATGGGGAGAGGTGTCCTGATACCAAAGGAAATTACCGAATGCCTAATATGGACTAAAATAAGCAAATGGGAGCTTGAACTGGAAAGGAGATCTCCAAATCTGTTGACGTTTCCAGCAGGACCAGAAGTGCAATTCCTCATCTCTGCTCCCAGTAAGAGGAGCCTTGGACCACGAGCAGTGTCTTTCAGGGCTTTTCCAACCTGAGCAGTTCTATGATTCTATGATAAAGATGAGAGCTAGCAGGGGACACCAGAGGAGTTCAGGCTACTAACATTCACAGAAAAAAAATTCCTGCTGCCTTGCATGTGCCTTTCCATTAATGAATTTTGACATATGGAGGTCGAGTTTTCATTACCATGATGTAATTTAAGGAGATCCCAGCAAGCAGTTTGCTAGAGCCCCCACTCCTATGTTCCTTTTGCTGTCGGCAGACTTTTCTTCTGCATGTGCAGTTATTTTCTTTAAAAGGGAGAACTAAACAACAATTCTTTGAATGGCTAGCACTTGAAATTGCTCCAAAAAAAAATGGAAATAGCCATTGAATGACATCCAGTGCCAGTGAGAGCACTGTGTGCTTTAGCAAGCAGGCAGAAGTGTTGCTGGCTGGTGCTTGTGTCCCGTTCCCCTGACTGGATCCCAGTTGTTTTATAGCTCTGCTCTGCAATCATCACATGGGTTCCAGCTCAGCCACTTACCAGTGCACCTATTCATGATAAAAGCCCAGCTGAGGAAAAGCTTTGAGCAACTCCTTGATGTTAAATATTGAAATCTAACCGCCTCAGTGGGAATTAAATTAAGCACACGCTGTTCTTAATAGGTATGATTTTCTGAACAATTTCTTCCACTAAAAAAGGACAAAATCTCTCCCGTAAGGTTGTATGAAGTAGTCAGAAACCACGATTACCTGGTTTGCAGTCCTGAATCACCAGCTTCAAAATCTGCTTTCATCTATTGTATCTTAACAAACCGTGAGCCGTTTAATTATCTCATTATAGAAGCAGAAGTGTGAAAAAGAAGTGCAAGGGAAAGCCATGAGTCTGGTCAGGATTACAAGGGGAACCTGAAGGGTTGACTCCAATGAATCTGAAACCTTTAATTAAAGTATTAAAAGTCTCCATTCTGAAGGCTGTTTCCATCTTCATGGCAACACAAACCCATCTGCCCCAAGGCTTCCCGTGTGCTGGGTTAACACGCAGCTTGGGCAGCCCAACCATTGGCTCTGAGCTTTGGTAACATTCACCTACACACCTGGGCACCATAAAGAACTTTTAAATAGCCATTAATTATATTCAGGCTTAAGGAAAATTGTCTTTATGCAAACGAGAAGCTCCAGAGTAGAGTTATAGGACATTTCATGAAATCTTGGATAAAATTTATTGATCTTTCAGAAAACACTTCAAGGGAAAAACCACCTCCGAGCGAACAGTAAAGGACTATGCTTATTGTAAAACTCACAGCTAAAATACAACTGAAAATGGGGAGCTTCAGATCAGGTATAAGGAAGCAACTGTTCACTATGAGGATGGCACTGGCACAGTGTGCATGTGGAGTGGTGGGAGATGCCCCTGCCCATGGGTGGTACTGAGTGGCTTTTAACACCCCTTCCTACTCAAGCCTTTCTTTGACCCTGCCATTCTAATACAGGTTGTCTTGGGGCAACCTATTTCCTATGTTCCTATAGGAACAGGTTGCCCAAGGAGGCTGTGGATGCCCCATCCCTGTAGGCATTCAAGGCCAGGCTGGATGTGGCTCTGGGCAGCCTGGGCTGCTGGTTGGCGACCTGCACACAGCAGGGGGTTGGAACTGGATGAGCACTGTGGTCCTTTTCAACTCATGCCATTCTATGATTCTATGACTGAGCAGAGCTTTGTCACCTCATGCCTTTACTTAGGGGCATTGCCACTTTTCTGCCCCAAGTAGACTGAAACACATACTTATTTTCACCAAGAAATTCACAAATTTGTAACATCCTTTTTTGTTGCAAAGACAAAAGGCTCCTTCCTCTTGCTCTCTGCATGACCCACTGAGCACAACCCTCAGCCACCTGGAAAAAAGGAGCCTGAAATGCAGCTGATCACCAAACTAACATCCCTTACTCCCTGTCATGCAGGACCTGGACCCTGCCGAAATGAGACTTGAGCTTTCAAGTCTCAAGTATCATTCTCCAAAGAAATAGGAGGTACAATTTAAATGTCTTCTTGCTGGAAAATAACAACATAAACAAACAGGTTATACCTGGAATATCTTAAAAGCAACTCTGGAGTTGCTGTTTTTACAAACAGCAGAAAAGGAAATCCTACTGCATAAAAATCACATGGGATTTTGACTGATGAGTACAGTTGCCTATTGCCTTTACTTACAGTCTACTGAATTTGGATATTTGTGAACCAGAAGTTTTGTAATCCTACTTACTACTGAATGGACCATCAAAAGCTTTGATCACACAGCTGGCTCTCTACCAGGGATTTGCATTTCCAACACAGCTTATGGCTTCACGCAGTTTGCTTACCCTGTCTTTTGGTCAAACTTGCTTTACAGTTCCCTTATAATGGAAAAAATACCACCCTAGGTTTCTGTTTCAGGGGTGTTTTCCTAACAACCACAGCAATAACACTGTTAGATAAATTTTTGTCCTAAGCAAGGAGTGAGATGGAGGACACAGAACCAGAAGGGAAAGGCAACAGGTTATACAACTCAGTTTGGTTTTCTTCAAACTCCACGACACCCAAAGAACAAACAGAAAGCTGGGCAGGGGAAGCACACCCTGAGCAGGTGGCCAAAATCCTCTTGTTTCAGATATTTAATAAAAATGCAGATGCCGCATCATTTTGAGGCTTCGTAAAGATACAGAAACTCCGTGTCTGTGTGACAAAGTGGGTAAACCAGAGGCATTTTAAACAAACAGCTCGGTCTGCACAGGGACACACGCACCGCAGGCTGTCAGCACCCTGCAAGCACTCATCGTGGGGGCCAGCAGCAAACCCAGCAATTAAAGGGCTCCTCAGCAGGGATCCGGCATCATTTTGGATGCTCGATTAAATCTGAAATTCTTTGGATAAATTATCATCAGCTCCACGGGCTGACACAAAGATCATCTTTTGTGCTTGGGAAAATAAAGGGGTTTTATTCAGAAATGCCATAGAAGATGTGGGGCTGGCTGCCCCACACGCCATGCTCAGCTCCAGGGGCACGTCCCGCTGTCCCTCCCCATTCAGTGAACCCAACACCACCCCAACTACAACTGAGAGCTGGGCCTTGCAGTGAGGGCATCCCAGCTGCACACCTGGACAGAGGAGAGAAAGGCACCTTGGGCATCCATGGGACAGGAGGTCAGCGGGCAGGGCTGGGATAGGCTGCTCTTGTCAAGGGGGAGGGAAAGCCACCATCCCACCCAGCTCACATCATGGTGATTCCTTTCAGTATCTAATGGGGGGCTGCAAGAAAGAAGGGGACAGACTCTTTAGCAGCAGCATCTGTTGCGATAGGTCAAGATGAAGTGGTTTCAAACTAAAAGATGGGAAGTTTAGACTGGATATGAGAGAGCAGTGAGGCACTGCATGGGCTGCCTAGAGAGGTGGCAGCGGTCCCTGCAGACACCCAAGGTCAGGAGCCGGGCTCTGAGCACCTGATGGAGCTGTGGGTGTCCCTGTACACTGCAGGAGGTGGCACCAGACAGCCTTTAGAGGTCCCTTCCGACTCAAACCATTCTATGAATGTTCCACCATGACTCGTGCGTTGGATGCTTTTGAGTCCCAACAGAGAGCGCTTCCCACAGCCCTCCCGCCTTCATTTCACCCTAAGCACACATACATCCCACTCCTTCTCTCATCTCTCCATTTATAGACCTACAGAAATGTACAGTTACGCATCGCAAAAACACTCCTTCCTCCTCCACCTCAGTGCATCTGGCCGTGCCCGGGGGCTGCGCTCACACGGGGGCCCCCCGCAGCCCCACCGCCGTCTCCGGCCTCCGGACGCCTCTTCCTCTTCCTCCTGAAGTTGCCGTTATCGAACATTTTCTCGCAGTTGGGGTCCAGCGTCCAGTAGTTGCCTTTACCTGCAGATGGGAGAGGAAAGGTGCGGCGCCCATCGCTCCGGCCCCGACCCACGGGCAGCACCGCTCCGCCAGCCCCGTCCCCACCCTCCGCCTTACCCGGGTCATCCTCGTCCCGCGGGACCTTCCTGAAGCAGTCGTTGAGGGACAGGTTGTGTCGGATGGAGTTCTGCCAGCCCGCCTTGCTCTTCTTGTAGAAAGGGAAATTCTCGGCCACGTATTGGTAGATCTGGCTGAGGGTCCTCCGTCGGCCCGGCGCGCTGTGGATGGCCATGGCGATGAGCGCCGAATACGAGTAGGGCGGCCGTGCCGGGCGGGGCCCCTCGTGCTGCGGGAGCGGCGACGTCCAGCCCCGCTCTGGGCACGGCGGTGGGAACGGAGCGGCGGGCGGGTAGGGGGCGGCGGGGCCGCCGAGCCACGCGTAGGGACCGCCGGCGGGCGGGCGGAGAGCCGCGTCCAGCAGCTCCCGGGCGAGGGGCGGCTCGGCGGGAGGCCCGAAGGCGTGCATGCTCCGGCGGCACCGAGCTCAGCCCGGCACCGAGCCGCCTGCCCCGACGGCGCGGCCGCACCCCGCCCGCTTAAATAGCGCCCGCGGCCCCTCCGCCAGCACTGCGCTGTCCCGAGCCCGGCGGCGGGAGGGCCGCCCCCGCCCCACGCGTGTCCGCTCCCCCGGAGACCCCTCCCTCCGCACCCTGCCGTGCCCCTGCTAGGATTGCCACGAAGGCACGTGAGCTCCTAATGCTGAATATCCCGAATTGGAGCCGTGCCCATCCGCAGGTTGCTCCCCAGCACCAGGCAGAGCTGCGGCACGCCGATGAACGGGGGCTGTCTGCTCACCCTGCTGCGAGAGCTGGAACTGCTTTCATTTCGTACTGCTGGTAGTAAACTTCGGGCTGAATTTGTACTCTGCTTTGGTCGATGCCAACCCACGTGCCTGACATCCTATAAACACTTTGCTTCTGCATCTCTTGTTCTCCTGTAACAACATTCTTTTGGGTTATGCTTTTCCTACTGATAAAGCAGTGAGAAGGAAATCATCTACAATTGTTCTTCTCTGCCAGAAGATGTAAATTGATGAAAACTCGATTTTCAGTTGCACTTCTGAACTTTCTCTCGCTTTAGAATCCATCCATCTTTTAGAAATTTCACACCATTCCCGAGACATACAGAAATAAGGCGTGGATTTAGCAGCAATCGTAGTTATAGAGAGGTGAAGGTGAATGGGCTCCTGTCCGTGGTAGGGAATTCAAACAGCTGAGGTGGCTTCCCATACCTGTACCAATAGATCTTTGCACTTTGAGCAGCATGCTTATGTTTGAACTATTTCTAAACCATACACTGTACCCTTTGTGTGCCTAATATTCACATTCCCCTGGCAGCTCTGTCTGATCCCATGTGCTTTCTCTGGGAGATGCCTTCTCAGAGGAGATGCAAGAATTGCTGTGCGGGTCAGATTGCTTCCTCATGGAGGGCAGTGGATAGCTTATGCCCTGGGGCAGGAGGGTTATAACCTATGTTATAGGTTGTCTATATTGTATAGAGATACGAGTGTTATAACCCATTTACATACATCTGTATTAGCATTATAGCCCACTTTAAGCACCTACATAGGTACATAGGCTTATGCCAAGCCTATTTGCAAAGTAAAGGACCTGCTGCAATGAAATTAGTTCAGCAATCCACCCCCAGACATTGCCTTTATTTATCTTCCCTTCTCTGGCTGATCCCCCACTGATGCACAGCCCAAAGGGCTCTCAGGGCTGCTCCCACTTCTCAGGTCACAATGTGTTCTGTGTCACTGCTACAGGGAGCTCATTACCTTCTGCCTTCCATAGTAGAGCTGACACCACAGGGCATGAAAATCCTCATGCACAATGTGTTTGGTGGCACTGACTGCTTGTTTCACAAAAACTCAGTATCAGAAAGCAGCAGTCTTACCTAAACGTAACTCCTTGCCTGCTTCATGATATGGAACCCATGGGAAAAAGTAGTTCTTGTTATGAGAAGTGTATCATTTTACAACTTTTGCTCTTCTCTTCCTTTAGAGTTTCACCAAAATCTCATGATAAAAAGCGTGATGACAGCATGACCGAGGAGCATCCTTGACTGTTCTGTGGTTATAGTCAATCCAGGCCTTAAACTGATCCCCAACCCCAGCCCTGCCGCATTCCTATCTCCAGCCCCTACCCCAGTTCCATCTCGATCCCCATCCCCAGCCGCCAGCCCATCGCTGGTAACGGTGTGCTTGCAATGCCATCTAGCGATCATCGCGGCTGATGAGCTCCAGGAGCTGCTTTTCCCCTCGGTACTCCCACCTTCCTCCCTCCTCCCGCCGCCGCAACATCCAATTAGGCGGCTTAAAGCCCGAGAAATGAGGTGTGCTAACAAGCAAGCGTGAGAGACAGAAGCGCTGCTGACCCCGTGTCGTTTGCAAGCTGTGTAGTGCATCCTCATCAAGTAGCACGGCTTAATTGGCTTGCTAAAGGCATCATTACTGCCAGGTCCAGCCTGCTCCCAGGTGTGTGGGGTGGTGGGTGACAACCACTCATGGCCACCAGGTCACCTGCACTTCCACAATTAGTGCTGTCTGTGGGCACCACTTGCCCCTTATTCTCTTGGTAAGGTGGCTTAAAAGGTCACAACACCTGTAACGAAAGGTCACTTCAACATCTGAAGGGGAACTTAAGGGAAAGAAGGGGGCAGGTTCTTCAGCAGGGCCAGCTGTGATAGGACGAGGGAAAATGGTTTCAAGCATAAAGAGGGCAGATTTAGGTTGGGTATAAGGAAAAAAGTCTTTTCTGGTGAGGGCGGTGAGGCACTGGAACAGGCTGCCCAGAGATGTGGTGGATGCCCCATCCATGGAGACTTCAAGGCCAGGCTGGATCAGACTCTGGGCAACCTGCTGGAGCTGTGCTGTCCTTGTGCACTGCAGGGGAGTTGGACTGGATGGCCTCCAGATGTCTCTTCCAACTAAGGATTCTATGATTGCATGCACAAGACCCAGCCTGCAGAAGGCAGGAGGAAGCCCGCCTCCCTCTCAGCAGAGCAGCTTCACAGGAGCAAAGCCACCACACTGAATCTCAGGGCACTCTATATCAATGCTACAATTTTTTTTTCCCCCCATATTTCTTTCTCATACCTTAAAATTAGAACCTTGAAAACTACTCCATGCCCCAAAACCACAGCAGAAAAGAAGTGTGATAGATCCCATATCAAATACCACTACCAGCCACCCTAATTGTTTCAACTAAAAGGAAGTGGGAGCAGCTGACATATAAACACACAGTGAGAAACAGCAAATAACTGGAGGTGAACTACTCGGATCATAGCAAAACAGAAGGAAATCCATCAGACACCACGAATGCCCACCCAAACATTACTTTGGACTTAAGGCAGCTCTGCTCGTTTGCTGTGACAATTATTATCTAACTAATGGACATTTTTCGAGCCAATCAAGCTTGAGACAATTGGCCTATGGCAATTAACTCTATTAACTCTAAAATTAGAATTCAGATAATTTAAACCTGAAATATGTATCTCATAGGAAGACAAATCTGCTGGAGACTGCCATATTTAGATTGCACAACATATTCTAATTTAGTTAACTCTCCAACTCACAAGAGCTCAGGCAACACTTTTCTGCAGCCACATTGCACAAGAGAAATGTCATAGGATCATAGAATGGTCTGGGCTGAAAAGGACCCCAATGCTCATCCAGTTCCAACCCCCTGCTGTGTGCAGGTCACCAACCAGCAGCCCAGGCTGCCCAGAGCCACATCCAGCCTGGCCTTGAATGCCTGCAGGGATGGGGCATCCACAGCCTCCTTGGGCAACCTGTGCCAGTGCCTCACCACCCTCTGGGGGAAAAACTTCCTCCTCATATCCAACCTCCCCTGTCTCAGTTTAAGACCATTCCCCCTCATCCTATCACTATCCACTCTTGTAAGCAGTCTTTAAATGTTGTATGCATTTTTTCCCCATTATTTGCATTTCAAAGCAATAGACTTTGCATACACCAAAGGTTTGGGCAGCAAAAGCATCAGCACAAACAGCACTAATGCCCTCACAGCGTGGTAAGATCACACATTCCTTCATTATGTTTTCTTTCAGTCTAACTATTCAGAAAGTCTGTCTATAAGAAAGTGAAACATGCATTCAAGCATTGATCTTCTTTTGTCCACTAAACACTTTATCTTTCACTTTTACTTCTTATTTTATTTCAGCTCATTAGCGATCCCATGTAGAAAGATCCCTTGGAGTTAATGGTGTTCAGATCTATTGATATGGAGCATCCTTGGTCTGTTGAATTCTGGAAGCGTAACATCTGCCTTCCATTGAGGAAAAATAAGTGAAGAATTATTGTTTCATGAATTTTATGGAAAGAATATCATTAATGACACATAAGGAGACTGCTTATTTAGGATATATGCCCCTTAGTACAGATCTCCCATACGTTAGCACCTAAAGGGAAGGGATATGCACCCCTACTTCAGCAGCAAGGCAGTTCCTGTGGTTGAGACAGCAAGAATGGAGAAACCAAAGTATTCATTGTCCACACTGAGCACAGAAAGCACACAGAAGTGTCACAGAACTCCAACCACCTCCCTGAAATGCTGTGGTCTCTACTGGTGGCATTGCCAGGGGGAACTACTGCTGTGTGGGGAATTGGAGCATCACCATTTGTGCACGTGTGTCACAACATCCTGTGTGTGCTCCCTTCAGAAGTGAAATGGTTATGGTCATACAGGCCACAAGCAGGTTGCAACATTCTGCTTTTCCAAGGCACATCTTTTCATCACTCACCTGGTCTAAACAGGAGATCGGTGTCAAACATGGGCTGCCCTGCAGCTGTTCCACTGCACAAGGGGCAGCAAGTTGTGAGCATCTCGTTCTGCTGCAATAGAGTGTGAAGAAACCCCCTGAGAAACCCTTTTTATTTTTTTTGCTTCCATTACTAAGCAGGCTATTAATTACTGCAAAACTCATGTTTAATGGAAAGACATTGCAGAACATGTCTCCTTGAGGACCTGTTTTGTTTTTGAAAGCCTAAGTGTTTACATCAGGCGTTGTGATTTATTCTCAAATCGGCTGAGACTCGCTGTGCTGGACTGTGGACAAAACCCATTTATTTCCCAGCCTGGGAAGGCCATCCATCAAAGAGAACACGGGGCACGTTGCCAGCCAGGAGCCCGTGAGCTGGGTGGGGAGGGGAGCTGCTCAGCCATCCCTGTTCTGATTTCCTCCCAATGCTCAGCAAAATAATGGGAAACTTCTGCTTGGGAGTGAATGGGGGGAGCATCTTTGGCTCTTTGTCCTTTTCCTGCTGATCTTCTCCAAAAGAGCAGTTGGGCATTGGCACAGCTGCCCAGGGACTGGTGGGGTCACCATCCCTGGAGGTGTTGCAGAGCTGTGGGGATGTGGCACTGAGGGATGTGGGCAGTGGGCACGGTGGGGTGGGTTGGGGATCCTAGCAGACACTTCCAGCTCTAACAATTCTAAGATCCAATGGAAGGGCACTGAGGGGAGCCTTGCAGGCTCCTGGCTTCCTTTAGGGGCAGCTGGAGCTGTAAGACAGCTTCATTCTCTGCTGGCTGTTTATGTTTCTTTGAAAGATACATTCACTTTAGCACCAACCAATTGCTCTCAAGTGACTCTGAATGTTGCTTGGAGCCCAAGCTCACCTGCTTTCAGTATGCAGTATCAAGTTTTATGCCAGTCCTCTTACTGACAGATTTGCTTAATAGCGTTTGTACTTTTAACTGCTCACCTTTAAGTCTTCATTTTCAAGCTGTTACATAAACAAATCCACATTTAAAAAGCATCCAACTTCATTGACACATAGAGCAATGTTAGCACTTCCAGGTTCATAACCTTCTACTGCTGGCTGCCCTGTCTCCAACACATTACTAAGAGGGATTTGTTGCCTTGCAAAACCCAGTTTGTTCCTGTGCAAAGGTATTTGACCCTAAGAAAAACCTCAGTGAAAGATTTTTGATACTATGCAGTATGAACAGCTATAACTTGCACAGGGAAGGGGTAACCAGGCACCTGAAATTCAGCTGTGTTTCAGAAGTCAGGCAGCTGTTGGATGGTTTGAAGCTGTGCACAGCTGAAAGCGAGCTAGGGGCTGATCGGAGTTGCTGGGGGTTTAGAATGTTTTTAGGCTCTCTGTTACACTTTCCAATGTGATAAAAATACAAATTGCAAGCAAATAATGTTAAGGATGAATAAAAAATTACGGTCCCCCAGGGCAAAGTAAGTTAATATAATGCATTTTGTATGTGCAATTCCTGCAAAGATTCCAGCGATTGAACATCACGGAGTGGCAGGGGTTGGAAGGAACCTCAAGAGTCCTTCCAGTCCAAACCTCATACTAAAGCAGATCCCTACAATAGATCCCACAGATAGGCTTCCAGACAGGTCTTCAATATCTTCATAGAAGGAGACTCCACCACCTCTCTGGGCAACCTTTAGCAGTGATCCATCTCCCTTACCATAAAGAAGTTCTTCCACATGTTTGCATGGAACTTCCTATGGTCAAGTTTTAGGCTATTGCTTCTTGTAAAAATCACCTTAAGATCATGTTTGTGGTTCAGCAAGTCTACGATTTTGCTTTGGAAAATATGATCCTGGCTATATGGCATATAGATTTATTTACTTTAGGCTGTACTTCTCTGCATATGGTGTAACTGCTAAGAAACAAGATCAATTGTTCTCTGAAGTGTATCTTACAGAAAGAGCCAGGCACATTACTTCAGAGAAAAATGCTTTTACATCAGCTGCACTATGGTCCTGACATCCCACAAAGCCCACTTCCTCACCTCTCCAAAGGCTTTTCCTTCTCTTTCTACACTGACAGAGTGACTCCTGTCCCTCCTCTTCTATACCAGATATTTGTAGCACCAGAGCCTGAGAGAAAGATGGATGGAGAAGGGCTGGGGATGTCAGCACGCTGCTGCTCCGAGTCACTGCCAGCAGACTCAAAGTCACAGGTCCTACATCCCATTTACTTTAATGGGTTTTGTTCAGCCAATTAGGCTCTTTTTCCTTCAGATCTCATCCGCACAAAGGACGGCGTTAATACTTAGAGCCTCGCGGGACTAATTGTCTGTGAAGTCACTTCGAGACCTTGGAGAGAAGCACTGGCAATTTAATTATTATTATAGGTATTATAACATTAAACATAAGTTCATGTGTCCATTTGGGGGGGGAAATAAAAAATAAAATCAGTATCAAAGGAGCTAACGCCTCCCCCAGGCTGTTCCATTATTCTATCGCCCTTCGTTTGAAAGGCGATGCTCAACTCTATTCTCCTCCTGGTGCTGCGGTGTGCCAACCCCTGTAAGATCACATCCAGGTCAGAAACGCAGCTCACTGCCTCACAGAAGTCAGAGGCAACAAGAAGTATTGTTCACCTGATCATTTTCTACAACCTATGGTTGTTTGTTTGTTTGTTTTCCCTTTATTCGAATGCTTTAATTTTGTTCTCCTGAGGAACGATTAAATTTGCTCCTGTAAAAAGCCAAGATGAGCAGGGATTTGGAAAGCTGGGATCTAACAGTGCCAACTGTATGCTGCAAAAGTCCAGTGCCTGTTATAAACGTGTAATATTTGGCAAGCAGCTTTCTTCTGGTGATAAAATGCATTCTTACCAATCAAATAGTCAAGAGGGCAAAATTAACCTCTTCCCATATTTACTGAGCCAAGTGACAACTCATCATCAGTGCACCAAAGTCTCACAGCACGACACAAACCAAAGATAAATGTAGATTATTTCTAAGGGTGAGTTACAAGAAATAGTTACCCTTGTCCTAATGAAAATCACAAAATGGAAGAACTATTCATAGAGAACAGCAGAAACAGAAACCTGGGCCTAGAAAGAAGCTGCTCTGTACTAAGAGGGTTTCCTAGGATAACTGCTATCTAGACCTTTCCACCAAGTGACCAGCACAGATTTAAGACAACTCACTGCAGCTAAGAGAAGAGAACATTCACCACTAGATGAACAGAAAGCCCATTTCTATACTGGTGATTCCAACCCCAACTGGGAAAGCAGTTCCCACTGTTTCCTGGGTGCGTTGGCTGACTTTCTTGCCACTAGAAGTCAGCCAGCAGCCTATAATTACACTGAATATCTTCCTGGAACCTAGCTTCCATAAAATGGTGCCATCTTTGGAGTAATATATCATTGGTATGCCCTGCTCAGATTATTACACTAATATATCATTAAAGCAACAGCTTGCTTCAGTGATGGATTGGTGTAATGTGGTGTGAGAGCTACAGCTCTTTCAGGTAATATACGACGCTCTTGTGCTAATGTATGGCCATCGTATCTCAGAGAGGAGCTACTGGGATGATGCATTCCCCTGTGGCAGCACAGCCCCACAGTGAACAACACAGGCTCGTTGCAGGAGGATGCTCCATCTCAGCATGTCTTTGCTTTACAAGTTCATGGGCTGATTTCCCTGCTGACGAGGCAGGTCCTGATGAGTTTTGATGTCCTACAGGACAAAGCTGGCCTGCAGGTGAAGGAAAACTTGGTACACGCTCATGCCAGGGAACCTGCCAAACTGAATTAAGGTTAGAAAATGCCCTTGCTGTGATCACCCTCAGCATCACACCATCTTGAGCCTAGAGAAACCCATGGGCAAGCAATTATTTACCACATGGCTGATGAAAGACTGTGAGATTACTAATAGAGCTTAAAACAGCTCTATTTCATCTGTAAACTGAGAGATAAATCTAATGCATCCTACCCTTGTTTTGCAGTCAGTGCATGATGGAAACCCACTCACACCTGGAGGCTTCTGAGTCCAGTGGTGTACTGCATGTTACCACTGTAAAGTTTTTACACAGAACCACAGAATGGCCTGGGTTGCAAAGGAGCACAGTGCTCATCCAGCTCCAACCCCCTGCTGTGTGCAGGTCACCAACCAGCAGCCCAGGCTGCCCAGAGCCACATCCAGCCTGGCCTTGAATGCCTGCAGGGATGGGGCATCCACAGCCTCCTTGGGCAACCTGTGCCAGTGTGTACATGAGGAGTTTCCACTGCTCTTCCACTTTCCTGAGAGTACAAAGGGGGGAAAAACATGACAGTTGACTTCTGAACTGGGAAACGTAAATCTTTATTCTTGAAAAAGTGAAAATGTCTTCCTAGATATCTTTTTTCCCCCCCAGTAGATTTGGAGCAACTCCTCAAAAGAAAAACCCCAAATTGCATTGTTTTCCCTCTTGCATTGCACAAAACCAAGCAATCACCACCCATGACAAAAGCACACAAAGCAGCTTTCTGGCAGAGCCCAAACTCATGCTAGCTCAAATTGAAAAGGAAAATATTTGCATGCTATGACTCAGTGCAAATGGTTTACATACTGTTCTTTTTTCCAGCTTTAATTACTGTGGTTGTCACCAAGAAACCACTGAAATTTTACAAGGACATGCAGAGGTTGTGTTATGTTTCTCTTTCATCATGACAGCAATTCTGTTACCTCAACAATGTGAAAACATTTAAAAATCATTAACAATCACTTGAGAAGTTATTTCTTCTATAAATAAGATGATACAAGCTGTAATAAAGCAATCAGCATTCCCTGTAATTTGTTTTGTTTCCAGACATTCACCTGACCTCTACCTGGACTTTCTGCTAGCCTCTGGCATGGGAGTGTTGTATTCCATCCATTATACGCATGGAAATTAAATTGAGTAGTGGGTGGAAAAGAGAATTAGATTTAGTAAGTTAAACAATGCATGGAAATCGATCTATGCATATTATGCATAACCTTCTCAATGCTGTTCTATTCAGTGCTGCTAAATGCATTTCAAGGGGCAGCACTAAGTGAAATGACTGCTATCTACCACATAGGGTGCTTTTCTTTTTGTTTCCCCCCCCCCCCCCCCCCTCACCTGCTGAAGCTTTGCAGTTAAGATAAAGTCCTATTGTTTCTCCTTCCTTGTGCCTCCAGGAAAAATGTCCATTGGCTTTGGCCCCCAAGTGCCCTGGTTCCAGATTTGTCCCCAGCACTGCTGGCCTGGCATCAGTGCTCACCAGAGGCCCTTTGGGCTTTTGCTCCTTCACTTCATCCCTCTTGTGCAGCAAATGCTGGAGCTGGGGGAGAGGAAAAGGGATGTTAAGAAATGAATGTGCTGTGTGAAATCAGAGACAACTGCCAGATACTCCTACATTAACTAATGACATAAGCTTTTGCACCTTGAGGAAATAATCAGAAGTTAATAAGCTGTGTGACACACAGAGGACAAGAAACAAAGAAAGACAGAGCACTTAATCAAAGCATAACCTATTCCTCCAGCTCTTGACTGCCTTTTGCCTGCTTGGTGCTCTAGGTGTAGCTAATCCCTAGTTCCACCCTCTTCCTCAAAATAGGCACTGGAGGAGAATGGAGGGTTGTGTGCTGGCCAGGGCCTGCAGAAGGCAACTTAAGAGCATCTACAGAACTTACAAAAGCTCACATGAAGTTCTGTGCATGGTTACTGGGGGAGTTGTTAGGGTGTGTTGTGATGTAATGCTATAGTGGGATGATAACAGCAGGGTGGCAAAAATGTTTGGCTACAGCAAATGAGAATGAGCCCAAATGCAGGAGCCACAGATGCAGAAATAAAAGAAAAAAAGCTGCTTACCTTTGAAAGGCCAGAAGTAGGCAGGGAGCTCCAACAAGAGATACCCTTGCATCCACTGCCAAGCTTTAAATGAGGTCTAGAAAGGGATGGATTCTGGTTGCAGCCCTTCCAGTCACTCGGGTGCATTGCATTGCACTGCATGCACCTGAGCTCCCCTGGTTTGGCTCTGCCTTCCCACCAGGTGCTCCTTCACTGCTTCAGACAGTGGCTTAGTATTGCCACTATATGTGATTTGATGTTTCCTATTTGCTAAGTTCCCCTGTTTCATTCTCTCCTATCTATCACATGAAAAGGGAGTTCTCTAAGGTGAGAAGTAGCAGCAGAAGCAGTAGTAGTCCAGTTTGTGTTGTGCCTGGCTGAAAAATTGTACTTTGCCTGTACATACCAGTGACTGCTGGCACCCAGAACACATACCCTAAGAGCTACAGAGGCACAAAGAAAATAATGAAATGATATTGGAAGAAAAAAAAAAAAAAGAAAAAAGGGGGTTATTTATTGGTATCCCAGGAGATGAGATAGAAAGGAGAAGTACAGAGGGCAGCAAGGTGATTTTGCAGCAGGGAACAGAGCTAGTTCAAGGACATTCAGCAGCAGCAGCCAAGGTCAGCACCATTGACTGGATGAGTGCAGGTGCTATGGCCTCGTGCTGTGACAGAAACGAGAGAAGGATGCAACTAAGCCAGAAAGGCCTTGAAATGAAGATACACTGTTCAAGTTTGCTGTGTATACAAGGGAAAAGCAGTTCATGTATTCAGAGTAGTGAGACACAGGTAATGTAATAAGAAAATGAAGGAGGAGTGTAAGTGGTTGGATCGGGCTGAAACAGCCAAGGACTACAAGCAAAAGCCTCCCAGATGATGGATATCCAAGAAGGCTGAATACATAACGTTATAGAATTTCTGATGGATTATGGCTATAATCTACCCTCACAAAACAGTATCCCAGTGTTTCGAGTTAGCTGAAACACAAGCAAAAAATCTTATAATATTAATATTAATTAATAGACCAGCCGAATGGAGGCACAAATAAGGCAGTGGGATGCCTGCCCTGGGAAAGTTACCCAGGTGGTTTGATTGTGGCAAAAACTGACCATGTTTTGTTTTGTTGCAGCTGAGCTTCAGGCAGAAGCTGGGGGCCTCAGACCAGCTGAAAAACTGCTTCATAAAATAAGAAAGATTGACTGGAATCATTAACTTGAGAGGGGGGAGTAACTCCAGAGGAAAAGCTTATTTATAGAGTTTTAATGCCAGTTACAGGTGTTATTATGTTCCATGTAATTACCCTGCAAATCAGAGCATGGTAATGAAATCCTATCAGCGTTGGGATTCTCTGCAGTTATCCTATGGAAGTGTACGACAAAGGTTTAATTCTCTCTGAATTTCTGTGAATGTTTAGATCATGCTCTGAATTACAGTAGGAAAATGCTGCTTGTGGTGTTCCAAGCCCAGTTTGAGCCTGGTATTCAGGAATCACAGAACCATAGAATGGCCTGGGTTGCAAAGGAGCACAATGCTCATCCAGTTCCAACCCCCTGCTGTGTGCAGGTCACCAACCAGCAGCCCAGGCTGCCCAGAGCCACATCCAGCCTGGCCTTGAATGCCTGCAGGGATGGGGCATCCACAGCCTCCTTGGGCAACCTGTGCCAGTGCCTCACCACCCTCTGATCACACTAGATCTCTTTTTTTTTCCCCACTTAAATTCTTCAGGACTTTTAAAACCGGTGAGGGGTTAATACAAATCTTTGAATATTTGCAGTTTTGAATATTTGAACTTTGGTGCACTGATCCCCCATTTCGCCGTTAGCTATTCCAAGGTAATTGTGACCTCTACTCATTAGCAGAATGTGTGATGCTGGAAACCTGGAGGTGAAAACACGCAGTCTCGGGGCTGCACTTTGTCTGGTTTTGTCCCTGTTAGTCACCATAAAAATATTCTTAAAAGTGATTAGAAGTTTGCTTATGCAGGGCAATTATGTTGCAGATTGCTTCTTATTATTATGTAGCTAATAAAAATAACAGCAATGTATATCTTGGCCCAAAGAGGTTGGGAGTTTATTAAAGTTGTAAATTATGGATTCCACTAAAGTGGGATAATAAGATGAAGCAGCACAGCGTGTGCAGTAATCATTCTCCTATTTTCATCTAATATTGTGTAGTTATTAGACATTTTGTTCCTTATTAATCTTCCTTGACCTTTTTTTCCTCCACAAATTCTCCTTCCTATAAAAATGAGTAATTGCTGAGAATCATAACGTGCTGACAAATGTCTGCAAGGAGAGCAGGGTGCAGTGTGACACAGTGGGGCCAAAAGAAGTGATGCCCTGTGGCCAGCACACACCAACCCTGCTCCCATGGCATGGGCTTCTGGGCAGGGACACGTGCTGGAGTAACCCTGCCATCTCCCATCCACTTCAGCTGTATATTGAAGTTTAATTCTTGTCTTTAGATTGTTTTTTCCCTTATTGGTGGGATAATGAAGAGGGAAAAAAATTGCATGTCTGGAGTTGATCATTCTATTCTGCTCGTCTGAACACACATCAGATAAAATCTTGCCAGCCACAGTGTTGTAAATGAGGTGCATGGGGCGCTTGAATAAATAAATACCCCAGATAGTAAACTCCAAAAGTCAGCAGCTCTGCATACCAAGCAATTCGCTTGCTTGCCCTGCTTCTCTGCAACGTTCTACGACTCACGTGTTGCAGCAGCAGAGGTCGCTGGTCCCACAGCCCATGAGGAAAGGCTGATCCTCATCCCCGGGTGACCGCGGAGCACTCTGCGCTCGGAGCACTCAACTCCTGCCCACTCCCAAACGACGCTGCTGGGGCTGAGTCTTCCAAAGGCTTACAGTCTCCCGTTGGGCTACAGATAGGAGACCAGGTGAAGGAGAAAATACATGCATGCGGCTTCGCATCCCCTTATCTGGCTGATGCAAAACACCCGGACAGCTGGCTCCCAACGGCCAGGGCAGTGGCTGTCATGTACTCAGATAGGCACTAGGGCTAAATAAGAGTCAGCAGCATCGTGTGCTCAGCCAGGCAGCATACAGGGAAAGGTGCCCTGACACCTGCATGGCACTCACAGAGCTGACATCTCCTGCTGCTCTGCACCCCGGTGGCAAAATCCAGTGCATGGAGCCTGCAGAGCACCACGGTGTGTGGTCATGAGCAAGGGCAGGCACAGCAGATAGCTGCCAACACCTACTGAGCACCAAGGGTTACTATTTGTAACAAAAATGCTCCATTTGGAACACACTTTTTACAGCAGGTGGCTAAAGAGTGTTTTCCCAGCATGGGGAGTAACAGCTTTTAAGGACTATTATGATTCTTTTATGCATACAACGAAACGAAACAAAAAAAGCAACAACAGCAAAACACCCAAATCCACCATTTGTGTCATTTAATGGGCTCCATGTGAGCGCTAAACAGAAGGAAGTCACAAAAAAGAAATAAAATGCATGCACTGTAAGCGGCAGCGAACCATTATCCCTCCATGGTGTCTGCTGCAATCCAGCAGGCAACAAGTGGCTATCGCAGCCCAGAGCTGAGGAGATCATAGAGTCATATCATAGAATGGCCTGGGTTGAAAAGGACCACAATGATCATCCAATTTCAACCCCCTGCTGTGTGCAGGGTCGCCAACCACCAGGCCAGGCTGCCCAGAGGTCTTCAGGACCCTGAAAGTTTTTGCTCTAAGCTGGTTGGATATTTAGTGCAGGTATTTCTGCACGCTGCAGGAGGCTGTGAGCATCAGGTCACCAATGGGTACCTGGGGCTTCAGTGGCAGTGCCACTGGGAGGCCATGTAGGGCAGGAACTTCCATGGCTTCATGCTTGGCCAAAGGGCTCTTATTTCCTCTGTGTCTTTTTAATTTAACACCCTCTGTGAGGCTTTATTTACTTTGGACGCATCCTGTGATGCTTCTAAACTTAAACTCAGCATGTTTTAAACCTCGCTGGAAGAGACTTGTTTTCTGCACAGAGAAAGAGGATGGCAAAGAGCTAGCCATGCTGCTGAGCCACACTGCCCGACTCCTACCACCAATATTGCACACCACCCACCAGCAGTGCTTCTCCATTTGATCATCATAGAATCATAGAATGGCCTGGGTTGAAAAGGACATCAAAGATCATCTCGTTTCAACCCCTCTGCCATGGGCAGGATTGCCCAACCACCAGACCAATTCTGGGCCTGTTTGTATTTCCTTCCTTTTCATTGGATGGTACCATATTCTGTGAAGTTCACCGACCTGCTCACCTCTGAAGTGCTCCTTTGGCCAACTCTGAGAAAAAAGAAATACACATTGTATTATTTTTTTTCCCAGTACTGTTCCTGATGTGTCTGTGCCTTCCAACCCAGGCTGCTGCAGTGTGGGAGAGGAGCAGCCCCGCTGCAATGCATGGCTGCACAGAGCTCAACGGGGTGCTTTCCCGAAAACTTACCTCATCTCCATGAACAATTCCTCTGCTTCCTCTCTAAAAAAACATCGTTTTGTTTTTGGATTAAAATTTAAAGCGCTTTGAAGTACAGAAATTATTAACTTTGATATCTCTGCGGTTGTTCCACAGGAGAATGCCTGAGGGTAACAGCGATGAATGCTAACATAAAGATTTACATTTACTGTAATATTAATTTTTTAAAAGCTTTTAATTAATACAAAATAATCAGAAATAAGCAAGTTTCCTTCAAGCTGGTCCGCTACCCATGAAACTTCTTTCTCACAGACTTCAATAATGTCTTTTTGCAGGACAACAGTGTACTCATAATCATATCTAATTAAGAGGCTTGAAAGACATTCTTATCACAACTTTCCATATGTTGCATAGGATGGCTATTCTGTACTGTTTTCACTATGGCAATGCTAAAGTCAAGAGAAGGTCCCACCACGCTGGATGCTGTCTAAATACACATCCTTGTCCAAGAAGTTTACAATAATCTGAGGCCAGTGGAGCCTGTAGCAAAAAAAAGGGGACATCAAGACAGTGATGGAGGGATAAGCAGTTTATGCTCATGAGCGGTGCTCAGAAAACTCAACGCACGCTATGAAATTAATGAGATAAATATATGAAATGAAATTGCAGCACATCCTCATCTGCAGAATATTTTCCAGCCCATTTACATAATTTTTAAAGGCTTGTTGGTCTATTAGCAATCAGCACAAACAACTTCTGGGTGTTGACTTTTCCCAGCCTGACTTGTATGTTTTAGGCAGGCCAAGACCCCCAGTGTTAGCAGGTGTGTTAACACAGGGGCGGTCCTGCTCTGCGTGTCACATCAGTTCCAAGATAATAAAACAATGCAGGCTATACATTCTGCAGGGTTTCGTCATCTGGATTTCACGTGCTCCAGTTTGTTCCTGCCAGTGAGGAAAGCAGGATATAAAAAGGGTTGTATTTGTTCTGGGGTTACGTAGCAGGGAACAGCGTTTGGCAGTAAAATTGGTTCTCCAGGTGGGCCAGACACAACTCTCCGTGCTGGTGTTGTCCTGTCCTGTTGCACACAGCCACGTGCTCTACCTACCTGCACCTTTCTTTAGCCTTACTACACGAATGTTGTTCAAGATATCAGATGTGCAATAGCATCCGTTCAATCATTCTAAACTTTAATATTCTGTAGCCCTTTCTTATATCATAGAATCATGGAATCACAGGGTTGGAAAGGACCTACAAGATTATCTAGTCCAACTGTCCTCCTGTCACCATTATTACCCATTAAGCCACTAAATCTCGTAACAGCTCCTCCAGATGCCTCTTGAACACTGCCAGGGACGGCGACTCCACCATCTCCCTGGGCAGCCATTCCCATGCCTGACCACTCTTTGAGAGAAAACATTTTTCCTTGTCTAAGTCTCCCCTGGCACATTTTGTGGCCATTTCCTCAAGTCCCGTTCATTGTCTGGGAGAAGAGGCCGGCCTCCTTCTTGTCACAACCTCCCTTCAGGAAGCTATAGAATGCACCCTGA